GCGTATTTTTGTCGGGCTTTCTTTCACAACTCCGCAACTCATAACAAGCAGTGGTGACGTTGCTCTTCCATTTTATATTTTTTCCTCATTAAAACGATTTTTGATTAGGGAATGATGGGAGTATTATGCACGAGCGGTGATGTTTGGCACGGTTATCGTTTTTCACATTTTTCTCGAGAATGAGCGAGGATACGGAATAATTAGAAACAAAACGAAATGAAGTAACCCAAAGGGAGAATAAATGTTAGCCGCCCGTAAACAAGATGGAGAAACTCATTTTTTTAAATTTAGAAACAGGAATTAAGGCCTACATCCATGAAAGCAGAAGAATAAACCGAATGAATTTTGTATGTTGAAAAATGAAGTTAATTTGAAGTTACATTTATGTCCAGAAGCAAAACAAGAGGCCATCTCAGTATTTGCTCGAGGATCAGGGGAAACTGGATGAAAACCTGATCGAGATGGGAGTCAGAGAAGCTGTACTCGTATGTTTCCACCTTGTCATGGGCATGTGAATAACACTGACATTTGTGTCATTCAGTAACATTGTCTTGATGCGACAAGTAACAACTGACGGATGTTTCCCATTATTTATTTAAATTTGTCAGAGCAACAAGGTATGCTCTAGATAATATGTAATGAAAGAAAGTTACTGACTGACCCTTCAATTCCCCGACAACAAATCTTATTTGAGAACGTATATCGCCGGAAGTTTTACTTTCGAGAATCCGCGGTTTCTTTGCGTCTTCCGGCGCGCACTTCAAATGTTCTGCACCTCGCCCGGCGGAGTGGAGGAGCGGAGGGGTGGGGGAGGTTGACAGCGGTGAATTCCCTGTCACGCGGCAAGATGACCTTACTTCTAATCGCACAGGTTCTCCCACTCTCCGAGGAGTCGCTGCCGCCGCGCCGAGAATCGCTACCGACTTCGCTCCTCTCCCCGAGTTTTAACCAAGGAGTTTCAGTTTGAGAGTGGTCAGATAGTTTATGAGTGTGATACATGTTTAGGTCTTAATGTATTTCTACAAGAAATCGTAAAATAAGTAGAGCTCAGAACACATTTAGTACGCCAGGTCATTTAACTTGACGCTCCAGAAGAATTCGCATTTCTAAATTGTTCGACTGGACTGAGTACCGTCGGACAGGAAGTAGAACATTTTTCGCACTTTGCTTAGACCAAGTTTAATTTTCGGTAATATGTCACATATCAGCATAACTTCAAATTTTATTTCATTTTAATATACATTCACCGGCCCGGCAGTCTTGCGTTCCTGTGAACGAGTGGCAGACCCGTTTATTTGAATTTTTTTGTAATTTGTTCAATGCGCGCCCAAAATTTCAGACTCAAAAAATAATTATATTTTGGAAGGCTACCTGTCAAATGTGCCACTGACAGACAGACAGACAGACAGACAAACGACGTTATTTTCGTCCATAAATTCCCTATACGAATCATCAAACGTGGTGTAATGACTATTTTCTGAGGCTGTCGGTACTACAACGGGTAAGGTTAAGCTCACTCCCATGGAATTGGATGACTCTGCCTCGTGGATTGTGGTAGTTACAAATTGCAGGGAAGTACGGCACATCGATAATCTGGCTGTGAAAAGCTGCACTCTCCCCTTCTCAAAGTTCTCACGTGTCTAGGTGTGGCACAGAATATTTGAATTGCACCCCCAGATTCAGCAATCGACATTTCTGAAGAACGAAAATTTTCAGAGGAAAACTTCTCCAAACGTACGCAAATAATGATAACCTGCACGATATTTATACTGGTATAACTAAGGTTTTTATATTAGTTACGTACACGGACGTGGGTAATTACGTGTCGTTTATGGGCCGGGAGAGAAACAATTGTTTTCTGATTTGTTAAAATTAATTTATTTGTAATATAAGCATTTTTCACTCAATTGTATTTTACCATGAATATGCATAGGCAAGTGCATTCCTTTCCATCTGTAAAGAATCAACGTCTATTCTTAAATAGAGAGCAAGTCCGTCATCAACAGTCTCCCGGCTAAAGGTGACGAGTTGGTGAAGTAGGGTTCTCAGAACTGTACTCACTATCCGACATATTTCAGAAAATGATTCTAAGTTCAACAACAACGTTATAGGGTTTTTCTCGAACAAAAAGTAGCGTAAATATCATCTTTCTTCAATCAGTTATTTGACTCGGTTCTGTCAAACAACAAACACTATTTACATTCAGTTCTATAAAGCGAAGTTTCCGATGAAGTAACTGGGGTTCAGTAACTGATGTTCAGAATCCAACTTATTATTTTTATCTGCACTCACCAAATTAAAATTGAAACTATTGATGCCTATCCTTGCAACCACAATACACAATTCACAAGTTCTAATCACTTTTCACAAGTTATAATTGCAATTTACGGCACCTTCATGCAGCCGTCCTTCATCTCAATGGAATCAAGCCAAACTCTCAACCAATCAACAACCTTTTGTTGTTATAATGTTTGTATAAATCAGAGGCCCAATTTTCACGATTAACTCTGAATTTTTGAAAATTTCAAAAGTTTGGATTTTTTCTGCTTTTCCCTTCCACTACAAAACTGAAGATAGAGATGTATCTTCCAAAGAAATGTGTTCTTCTTATCAATGCCTATCCTATCAAGGAAGTTTTGTACATTTTTTGAAATTTCAGTAATTTTCGTGCAATATTGCGTGTATTTTGTGCAATTTTAAAAAATTACAAAAAACAAATGTTTTTAAAAACGGTTCCAATTTTTTCATTACACTTTGGGAGGAATAGTGCTAAATGTACTTTATAAGATGACGTAAATGCCATGTTTCTCAACTCTATTGTTTTTTCAGAAATTTCTCAAATGATTTTCTATTTTACTTGTCTCTCACGTCGTTAATATTTACATTAGCGGCGATTTGTTTACATTATTATATTTATGAGTACATGTGCTTTAAATAATGACACATAAAGCTTCTCAAAAACTCAGCAGTTTTCTGTCAAAACTAGCGCATTTTTAGCAAGTTTCGCATTTTCAGAATCGCTCAAACGCTATTTTCTCAAACACGGCTGAAACATTTTTTCTTCAACCTTTTCGAAAGAATAGTGCTAATTGCACTCTTTAATATGACGTAAAGTTCATTTCAGGGTATTTTTTATTTGTTCAAAAATTACAATAATGTAATTTTTCGAAAGAGCTCTCACGCTGTTAAAATGCACATTTCCAGCAATTTGTAAACACTATTGTATATATGAGTTAAAGTGCTTCAACTGACTACAAATAAAGTTTATCCGAAAACTCAAACATTATTTGTGAAAATAGCATCAAATTTTCGAATTTACAATAGCACTTAAACGCCAGTTTTAAAAAAAAATACGAACGTGCTTTGCCGTTTCATACACACTCTAGTGAGAAGAAAGAAAAAACTAAGACAACATTGCGCAGCCGCTATTTCAATTTTATACGCCACGTGTATTCCAAGTAAAATAGCGATTCTTCATTTCAGCTACACGAATATTAACAATCACTCACTGGAATTAATCACTCACTGTAATTTCTATTTGGATACTCTGCAATAGGGGGTTGTAACAGTGGTTGTAAAATAATATTCAAGTATATATGATTTCAGTAGTAGTAGTAGCAGCAGCAGAATTGTTGTGGCACTCCGTAAAGAATATGAACAAAGAAATAATCAATTTTCAAAACATCTTGTGATATTTATTTAAACACAGAGACCCAGAGTTAGCTTTCAAAAACACTTTTTTCCCGTTTTCAGTGAGTATCTTTCATTTAAAAAGGGTAATTAATAATTTATCTTACCACTTGATAAATGTTACAAAATGAATAGATTGTAAGTTATCAGAAGTGAATTTTTTTTAAAAAAACATCTTCAATGAAGGGGTCTACAATAATTCTCATCACATACTTGAATATTATTTTAAACACCACTAAAGATGGGAAAAGTGTTAACGCAACTTCTGGGCCTGTGGTTTGATTACACAGGCAAAAAATAAAAACGTTGTCAGATCCAAAGGCTTGACACTTGTTTCTCTATGTATGTCGACGTGCTGAATCCGAATTCGAAGTCATAATTGCGCCACCACCCTCCATCTTTATTTAAATCGCAAAAAACACATGTGAATACTAGATTTTAGTGTCCTGTAGCAGAATACTCTACAGAAGCCGTCAGACCCAACGACATGACACATGTTTCTCTATGTATGTTAACGTGCTGGATTCGAATCTGATGCCAGTATTGTGCCACTACCTTCCAAATTTTTTTATCGCGAAATTTAAAAATGGAATTATGTTTTCGAGAACTGTTGTCAGTCCCAAAGAGTTTGCACATGTTTCTGTATGTCGACGTGCTGAATCCGCTTATGAAGCTAGAATTGCGCCATCACCATCCAGTTTTTTTAAATCGCGAAAAAACTACCATAAAATTGAACATGTCAGTGATTTTTCTCTCTCTGGAGGATTTCACACTCTTGAGGGTGGTGGTCAACATACATGGAGAAACATGCGTCAAGTCTTGGGACTGACAACATTTGAATTCTGAAGGATATAATGCTGCAAGACACCAAAATCTAGTATTAGCATGTGTATTTGGCGATTTAGAACAAACTGGAGGGTGGTGGCATAATTGTGCGGTGGCGGCGGGTTCTCGGGTTCAAATCCGATCGAAGTCGTGGATTTTTAAGGGTGAAAAAATCCTTCGGATGGGAAGTAAAGCCAGCTGTCCCATGTTAGTAGATTTACTTGCATGTAAAATATCCTCAAGCCTAAATGACGCCTCTGAGCTAAATTCTAATCGCCTGTTTCTCGCCCATGAAATACCTCCTTTGTCCGCTAGTGGGTGAAAGGAGCGTAGCGAAATTTGCGTGGTCAGACGGAAGACGGGCGTGATGGCCCGAGTCTCGCCACGTAAAATGAGGCAATACTTCAATAGAATTGCATTCTGGTTTCGGGTTGTTATACAGAGGGAGACGCGTGCCAAGTGTTTGTCTGCGCAGGTGCGACAGCGTGGACGCGCTGGTGGTGCTGGCGCCGGTGGACGGCCGCCTGGAGAAGGTGGACGCGCTGTGCGGGGCGGCGCTGCCACGGCCCGTGCTCTCCTCCGGCCCGCGCCTCGTGCTGGAGCTGCGAGGCTTCGCGTCGGGCGACGGCGCGCGCGGCTTCCAGGCCGCCTACAGCTTCATCGAGAGTGAGTGCCCCCCCCCCCAACCACATGTTGCACTTAAAAGGGCTTCACAAGTAGCTGTCTACCTCGAAATTCCTCGTGAAATTTCACGTATTTCAATTTTTATTGGGTCGCATGCTCTGTTTTATTCTCTTTTAAATGCTTCAAACCGTTTCATCGAGAGTGAGTGCCCCCCCCCCGAGCAAAATGTTGCACTTAAAAGGGCTTGACAACGTAATTGTCGTAAGGTCTACCTCGAAATGACTCGTGAAATTTCACGTATTTCAATTTTTATTGGGTCACTGTTTTATTCTCTTCTAAATGCTTCGTTTCTTGGCACGTTTCTTAGTTTTTTAACAAATATTTTGTTTCGAACGAAGTGCCAACTGTAAAGACTTCAACAGATGCATTTCCCCGAATTAGGAATTTTCAGCACATCCAGGGTAAAGGGGCATCCCTTCCAGGTGATATTCGATTTGTGAGTAAAACAATCTTTGTTTATGACGTACGTTATAGCATAAATTGGTAAATGGCATGAAAGACAGTGGGGAGGACAGTCACAAAAAGAAAATGACTTGATTTTCTTAAAAAATACAGGTAAGTAGTGGTTAAATCCAAAAAATACCGTTTTGGCCCTTTTTATTTGTTTCCTAAAAATATGGACCCGGGGCCCTTGCATCTTGGGGGTTCCCAGGCGGTTGTACAAATAAGAGTGAAAATGCCTACTTGACTCTCCTAAGACTAAAAGGCGTACCTTAAGTTGTAGTTCTTTTCTTTCTTTTTTATTAAGTGATATTTGTAAGGTACCTAAGAAAGAAGCCCATTATTATTTAGAAATGGTTGAAAATAATGATACATTCTGGTTAGTATTAATGTGAACAAGGGACTCTTCCGGTTGGCGTAATAATGATTTTATAAAAATGTATGTAACAAGTTCTTTGTTCGAAAGACGCGTAGACTTGATTTATTAATAAATACTCAAGAAGGCTTTACTATTTTTTTCTACTACGAGTATTTTATCAATAAATAGGTCTCTTGAATATTTCTCCGTGGCCAAAAGTTAAATCTATTGAGTTACGCATTTTAGGCTTAGAAGGGTAATATTTCCTTAACGTAGTGAGAGTGTTTAATTGACTCATTTCATTCCGTGTGGAATTTGTGATGGGGGAGATTTCGAGCAGATCTCTGTGGGTTCTCCCATGTGTCTGATTTCAACATCCCATCGTACATTTCATTCTCATGGCCAATATCGATACTTCTCATTTGATCACAACCCCTTGGATCTTAGTAGCCTCAGCGGTTGAACTCCAATAATTAAACGTTTTTATTTTTTTATGTAGATGACTGTATTGACGCCGACGATAAATCATCTTAAAATACAGAAACTGCTGGGGCGATTCCTTCCAAATATTGCACCAATATTTTTGAACAGCCATGAAAAAAGGTAGATATCCCATTGTGTTTCACCCACAAATTTGTGTTGGAAACCCGCAAATCTGGACATTGTTGCTAGGTGTTGCTGGGCGTGAGGTGAGATGGCATGATGCATTAACATGCGTGTGCTGTTGCGCAGTCTATCCGGCTTTTGCCAATGAGCTCTATGTAATGTAAGGAAAATTTGACCTTATTGTCCAAGATTTTTAAACTTTTTTCTGTGAAAAGTAAGAGCAAAAATATGAAACACGTGTTTTTCTTTTTTTCAAATATTGGTTTACGCGATAATATAAATTTTCAAAATTTTCGGAAAAATGTTCGCATTTCGAAAGTTAATTATTTTTAACTCTTGTTGTAATTGTGATAGAAATTTAATATTTTGTGACATTAAAGAATGAGAGATGCTCTTAGATTAAGTTTTTTTATAAGTACCATTTTAATTTATAAAGAGTTCTTCATAAATCTGGGAAGTTTCAAAGTTGACCACTGAGATGCATCTGAGAAATTAAATACAATAGAAATTTCTACTTGTTGTTTTGCTTCAACGTCTACTAGAGCGTCACACCTCAAACACGTGCCTGTCAGCATTAGACGATTACCATCAATGTACTTTAACATAACAATAAACATAAGTATCCCTTCACATCTTACTACGTGCAAGATATATACATATGACCTTCGTAGCCGATTAATTTCAAATTAAAATGTATCAAACGGATTCAATTTAGTATTAAACGGACCGTATATTTATACGAATAAGAGTAAGTGATATAATTGATTAAAGTGCTATTTCTTTTATTTCACTTTACAGAGACTATCACTATTTGACCTTTTTATAAGGAAATGAAACTATTTATTTTATCTGTGTCTTCTACTGTTTTTATTTTATCATTTTCACAATAGTCCTCTTTCTAAATATTCATCGTTCCAAAAATGTCAATGTTCTTCACGTTATCATCAACCCACTTAAATACATTTCTGGGTAAATTAATAGGTTCTTGTCGGAATACAAAGCTAGCTTTTATATAGAATATTACATCCCCCCCCCCCGTCGGAAGGTCCCTTTTCATAAGACGTTTGGAAGAGCAGAAATGCCATTCAGATCTCACATTGAAGACACATTTGTGAAAGCATAAATTCACGTGTTTTGTTATACTAAGAAAGTGACATAAGGGGTAGGTTGGTAGAAGTATACACTAGTACCTCTAATATTATTAGATATTTGTGATAAGTATTGTCTTTCTTGAATTTAAAATAATACGCTTAGCATAATGCACAGTATTCCGATTTTTTGTTGTTTTTACAGAAAGAAAAAAACTATTATATAAGTGCGATATTATATAACTGCTATTATATAAGTTCGAAACTACAAAAGAAAGAAGACATTTTTTTTCATTTTTATAAAGAATTTCATTTCAATACAAAGAAATTCATGACGATTTATTTTCAAACAAGTTGCTTGACATACATTTCTTTTTCCCAAACCAATATTGCAATATTTGGAAAGAGTGTCCAAACACATTAGTTCATCATGCCTCCAGTAGCGGCAGCAGTTGCCTCTATGAGAATGATCGGTTAAAGATGCGCGGAATTTCGTAATCCATTTTACCCAGAGTAAATTATCATTAGTGTTTTGGCTAACTAACTATCTCCTAATTCTGTTTCCTTTCTATCGTTTTTGTAAGAGACATGATGGAGCATACGCTATCAAATTCCTTTTGTCTATCGGTGGTACAGTTAATTGTAATTGTTGTGAATGTTTGGAGTCTTAAGAGTCAACTGTTCATCTCTTCATCCCTGTAGTCGCTTCCACGGCAATGTTCTGAGTATGTGCAAAGACAAATTCAAACGGGTAGAAGTATGAACACAAAAGTAAAGGTTTTTTAATTATCATCCCCAAGTATAATTAGATCGTAATTAAGACAAACTCCTTCAAAATGTGTCCTTTGTATTTCAAAACACGTGTTATGTACAAAATAATAAGTGTAACTACACCCACTGAACATCACAGACTTCTGAAACGCTTCTAATCAAAAAGCCTTATGAGCGGCGACAGTGATATGCCTTATGCCCAACCCTTAGTTTCAGCCTCTTTGCGTCGACTTCACAGCGATGCGAGCAGAATTTATCTATGGGCAATAAAGCGAAGAAGACAGAACATATCTCCGAAAGGTTCCTGTGGTTATTTGTATCCTCGTCGGAAGGACGCTAAGGTTGCGTTCCCCTTCCCCTTCGGAATCAGATTTAGAATTGAAGAATACGTTCTCAAGAATGATATCTTTACTATATTAATCATTTTCTTGCATTTTACTTCAATGTGTAGAGAACGTCTACGTTATCACCCTCACTATATGCCACTGTTCGCAAGTGTGTAGACATTTCCGGGCTGTGTGTGCTCGGAACGTATCGTAGGGAAAGCTTCTACATCCCTGGGACTCGCCTTCCTCCTTACGATTTGTCTGCCCACGTCCAGCCTATTTCGCTGATACCAATGGTCATTTGGAAAATGGGAGCCTCTGCTGATATTACCCTGCAGTTCGCTATTGATAACTAAGGCCATCTCTGTTCACGTTGCATAACCGTTGTAAATCCTGCAAATTCGTGTTGGGAAGAGAACAGTTTCTCCACCGTCCCTTTTTATCCAATAAATTGCTTAGAAGTGATTTATTAAAAACCAATGGCGTGCATTGGGCAGTACAGCAGAGCAGCGATTATCAGAGTGCCTTCGGTTAAACGAACACATTCAAACAGAAATTTAACTGATCATATTTATTATTATTGTCATACAAAGTGACATGTAAACCATCCTATAAATGAAAGCAATATCGTATAAACTTGTGATTCAATTCGTCTTTTGTGTATGAAAAGAAACATGTAAAATATATAGTAGGAAAATTATTTTTATTTCTGACGATTCGCAACAATTAAGACGGCACGGTGATTTCATATTGACGTCCAGAAAATGGTTTCAATTATTAGGTTTTCTTTCCTCCTGTCCTCTTTTTCACTTCCTCCTTAGGGTTTTCAAACGAACGTACTCTTTAAGCAAAATGATGACGCTTTGCTCACAGCTGCTATTTGGATGGTGACGAGAATTCTGTTAATGTCACTCCTGGAACCTAGGCTCTGGTCTACATTTAATTCCTCCAAGTTACATTTAATAATTATTTAAAGTATTCCGGTTACGATTCTTTAGAAAATAAGCTAGGTTAGATAATAATAGCTAGATAATAATGTAATACAGATATTAATATAATATAGTTATGTAATAGATAATAATGTAACATATAGATCCGTGCGAACGAACCGCACTTTGTTGATTATTGATTTAAAAGTGAAAATAGCTTCGTAACGGAAGCAACATCGAATGGCCAGGCTGTAAAGTGCGCCTTACACACCCTGACCATTCGAAAATATCTGCATTCATAATAATGATACTTAATTCACAGGTTACCTTCAATATTATATAAAATTCCGAAGTTGGTCACTCGAAAGAATCTTATCACCTCAGGGACGCTACCACGCAGAATGGATCAGCCTTTATAACGACGCGCAAAGTGTGAACGAGTTTTATATACCGACAATAAAGG